GTGTGTTATTAGCTGGTGGCTTCACAGGACAGGTGGTGGAGTTGCGCATGAGCTGTGTGAGTCAAGAACAAACAGTTGTAGCTAAGCAGTGTTCCTACTTGCAAGTGCAAGTACCTACTTACACAAGTATTTATATGCACAAGGTAAGTGTGTATAAATGTAACACAGGAGACTTTGAGGTTTTTTTGAGCAAATTGACATTTGCTGCTTTCAAGTTGATGGTGGTTAGTGTTACACCCAGGTGATAATATTAGCTCCTAAGAAATTGTTTGGACTGAAAAAATCAAAATTTTCCCAATGTGTTCTCACAAATGATGGTTTAACTGGAATACATTGTCTTTTAAGCCTTTAATACTGTTTAAGAAGTAGTGTCCAAAACTTTAATTTGATTCTGTTTCGTGTCTGTCTTTAAGAAAATATAGGTTTTTGCAATTAAAATCTGCATGGCTGACTATTTACTTCCAACAAGTTTCCTTAGCTCAGTGTGCAGAGTTCCTGAAGTTTCTTGGTTGCGGTAGTTTCATCTTGAGCTACTCTTTAACCCTAAGATTTCAGGTACATTGTAAACCGATAGCTGTCATGTTTAGACTTGGGACCTATCATGTTCTCACTACTCTTTGTGAGTACAAGAAAGGTATGGGATCTGGTGCCAAAACCAGAAATGTTCCTTCTCCACTTCTTACGCAGATGAGTTTTACCGCTTTCTTCTGCTTTCTTGGTAAAAAGATATCAGGGAGCATTCTGGAGCAGACCTGATGCTGATCACTGTGCTTGTGTCTCAGCTGCTGCTGTGACCTACTGCTACAAATGGCCAATGCCCCTCCGTGGCAAATCTGTCCCCTGCAGATGCTCAGCCGCACCTACCTTGTAGCACTTTGCCCCTTCATCTCTGCCCTGTCGTTTGCATTTCCTGCCCACCCCCGTGCCCCGGTAAATCCTCCTTGCATCTTAGAATTGGCAGGTAGGAAAATTTGCATCTAATAGAGGAGGTTGAAATGCAGACTCGGTGAGTAAGGGGACATCATCTTTTTACTTTTCTTGCACAGAAATGACAAGGTTCGCTTTCCTGAGCTTAACTTGAAGACTAACGGAATCCGGCAGTTATTTTGACCTTTTGTGATCTATTTCAAGGTAAATTAATGTGTTTGCAGCCTTCCATCATCTGAGCCAGGTTCAGCTTGACATTCTTGAAATCCCCCTATATTTCTTGGACTTGACAAAATGGCTTCAAATATTTTGAACTTGTTTTGATGCACTGAAGTTACCTTTCACATAAAGTTGTAGCATAAGGATCTTTGATCCAAAATGAGCTCTTGGTTTTCATCTCTGA